TTTAGTATTTGAGTGTAGGATCCTGAAATATTATTTAATATTTTCACGATAATACACTCAAATACTTAGGTAATAAAAATTGTCATCGAAATTAGGTACAGAAAACTAACGTTTATAAGAAAAATTTTGCTTTAAAAAAAGGCAAATATATATTTATACAGGTTAATACAATCCGCCTCAATCCGCTGAATACAGTTTAAAAAAAATATATCAAAACTAACTGGCATTACGTAAACGTGTTTTTTTTGCACATTTGTAGTTCGTTTCCGTCACGTTCTATCTTCATTCAATCATTGTCATCATTAGTCATCAACCAATTCATATCATAGTCTATATACACGATTTCAAATGCTGAATAAGATCGCACGTTTTTTTCAACTATGAGTCTACGATAAAATGTTCTTTGAGAGGGATTTTCAAGATCATACAAAATCTCAACATTGGGTATTAAATAATTTTCAACAAATTATTGCACATCTTTAGTTACAGCCCGACGTATATAACATTCTTATTTACTTCCTTCTGACTGTTAACAAAGCGGAAAAGTTAGTCTACATAAATAATAAAAATTGAGAGTGCGTTACACGGTATTATGACTATTTATGACCACCATGAACTGTGCATCAATGTGATAAGTGAAAGAATGTCCCGTGAATGGAACAAATATTTAATAAAATTTATTTTCATATTTTATTTTATTGGCTGGCAGTTCTTACATTGTTACCAGAGCGTAGAATTAAAAAAAAATTACGCACTCCCAAAATTTAAGACGTCACGAAACTATCTGAAAAAAGTTCACTGATAAAAGCTACCATCTATCAACCACTTTAATTTAAAAGGATACTTTGAAATAAAGACAATTAAAACGAACTGTATTGAAAAACATTTTATTGCTGGTAAATAAGTACTAAATTTGACTGGACGCGATGAACGAACGCTATAATACTTTGTTGAATCCAAATGGAACGCAAAATGAATATACCCGTCTCTATCTAACGCAAATTTATCCCCACTACAGAGTGCCGACTCGCAACAACGGCAACGCTGCCTTACGTTTTGAACAAGCTAACGCACACAAAGACACACGACAGAATTTCAGATATTTAATGTGTGCGTTGTCGGTGAACCGCTAAACAAACCGATCGACTAGTCTCTCTCGTAATACTAAGAGCGGTACACGTTGTGGTAGACAATGAAAGTAGAAAGTGATGAAGAAGTGACTGTAAAAGTGGAAATAGAAGATGAAGAACCTTTGCAACTTCCACCATCGAATCCAAATCCAAGCAGACAATCACACCGCAGTAATTACTGCGCTGTTTTTGAGTGTATGAACGCAAGTGACCGTATGACCCTTTTCACGTTACCTCTAGATCTCGGAAGGTAATATAATATAAATATATATAATATAACTTATTAGCATTAAATTGAAGCTTCGAAAAAGAAAAAATCTGTGGTCACATCAATGTGTAAACAGTGCTTATACTCCGAGAAAAGTAACTTGATACTTTTATTATTTATTGTCGCCACCGCCGTTGTCGGTCAGGTGTTAAGAAAAGTATTATTCATTGTCATTATGTATTTAAATCTATCGTATTAGTTGAAACAGACAATAGTACAACAAGACGCTTGTGGATATTAAAATATTTATCACATATTTTATTATAGTCGACGTTGTTAGAGAGGTTTCTTCCTATGTCTTGTTTTAGTGTTTCAAGGTGTTGGATTTTGACGCCTAATGACTAATACTGAGGAAAAATTTTTTTTTTTAAATTATTGTATAATAATGAATAATAATTAATTAATGTTTATTATACGTGAAGTTGTTTGTTTTCATTCACTTCTTTCAGTTCAAAGGTAAAAGGTACGCTCAGTAATTTACTTCTTTCTCCTTGCAGACGTATAAATTGGCTTCGACTAATACAACGCGAAGATTTAACTGAAAAAAACCCTTTTTGTTATCGTGTATGCGAAGAGCACTTTCGAAAAGAAGATATTGTGGACAGTGGTAACAGAAAACATTTGACAAGATTTGCGTTACCAGCTCTTTTCTTACCTGGAGGAAGACAAGAAAATAAAGGGACGCAAACACTCAAGAGGTATTCTTATACCATCTTCACCCAAACATGGGCCAGTACACAGTCTGTTCACACTCAAACTACCGCTCAACTAATACGAGACCTACCTTTGTGCCAAAATCTAAAAAGTCAACTCAAATTAACCAAATTAAAACTGACAAGAGAACGAGGAATACTTGCTGGACAACATCAGAAAGACGTCTTTTCAAACCTATGCGACAAATATCTGTCCAAAGATTTAGCTGAACTCGTAAAAGCACAAGTAGTGAACTTAAAACAGCATCACTGTGATACTAGATACACCGCAGAACTAAAACTATTTTGCTTTAAATTGTACCATTACAATCCACATGCTTACCATTTACTTTCTGAAACACTAAAACTTCCTTCGCAAGAAACTATTACCAGAATCTCTATACCGGTCACACCAGAAATCACAGATGACTTGCTTTCTATTTTGAAAGTTAAAGTTCAGAGTATGTCAGACTTAGAAAGGAATTGCACAGTAGTGATGGGAACTATGGTATTAAAACCAAGTTTGTTCTATAACAGTAAGAAAGACAAAATTACCGGATTCCACGAAGTCGACGGAGTCCAGTCTCCAAGGCCAGCAACAAATGCTTTGGTTATGATTATTCGTGGATTGTTTTGCGATTATTCACAACCTGTGGGGTACGCTTTACTCTCTGAAGGCAAAGACTTTGATGACGTCTTAAAATGGATTAACAAAATTTTAATGAAACTTTTCGACATAGGTCTCCGCGTCCGAGCGTTAGTAAGTGACCTTGCGTGTGAATGGCTTACTGAAGCAATAAGAAGAACCGTCTCCAGTTCTAGACCATATTTCTATCTCAATGATAGGAAAATTTATTTTATTCTAGACACACCTTACTTATTGAAATTAGTACGAAACATGTTATTACAAAATGATTTTCATTTTCACGATTCTGTAGTCAAGTTTCAACATATTCAAGATTTTTACAAACAGGATAACCAACAGTGTATGAAACTAGCACCAAAGTTAACAAATAGTCATATTAACCCTTCCACTGCAGAAAAGAACAATATGAATTATGCAAGGGAACTTTTTAGTAAACAAGTCGCTGCTGGAATTTCTACTTATGTAGATTTTCATGCTATTGACGAATCTGGAAAGGGAACAGCGAGGTTTATAAGTATGATCGATGATCTATTCGAGGCTCTAAGTTCGTCGCCCACCCTAGAGGCAATTGGTTACAAAAAAGCCTTTTGTGGAGATGAGGTTCAATTAGAATTCTTTAACGAAATGTTGGAGTTGTTCCAGTCGTTAAAAATAATTAATCCAAAAAGTGGAAACGATGTGTCATGCGAAGGGGACTTTATTGAAGAGTTTAAAATTACTATGAAATCCATTTTACAATTATTTGATGATCTGAAGGTTGAAGGGCACACATCTCTCTATACGTCTAGACTACACAATGACGTTTATCACGATTTTATTAAACAAATGCGAGCGCAAATTGGCAAAATCAGTAAACCCACTAGTCGCCTATTTATCAAAGGGTTTATGATTATATTTTTCTCCAATATTATAAAGTCGAAAAATTGTAGCAATATGGATAGCGTACTAGATGAAATTCATAGAATCCTAAAAATGAGAGATGAGCATAGCCAGAAAGATTTGAATGCTGAAGAATTGAAGAAAAGGTCTGTTCAAGTTACTAATTCTGATTGTGATAAACTGCAATTTCCGGAAGACTTTCCTCTTTTTAATAGACGTGCGCACTTGTTAAAACAATGCTTGGATCACCATAAAGACTGTGCTGTTCTAAAATCTTACCTAAAATTGGATGAAGCTAACTATAATTATTGCGGAGATATGAATTATCTCATTTACAAGTATTATATTGGAGGCAACAAAGATAAAATAACTACATTGCCGGTGATTCCCGCCGATAATTTCATCACATATGTAGAAAAAATGGAGTACATATGCCAAGAAATTATGAAAAGGGAACACGTGTGTCTAAATATTTGCGAAACGCTGCAAAAAGCAATAATTGATATTCCACCTTGGAACCCGTGCGCCTGTTTCCCTCATACCTATTTAATAAAACTTTTTGTGATGACAAAGATTTGTAACGTCGTAAAAATAAATAATAACGCATTTCGCAATATGGGTAAGAATGCAGTTTGCAGATTTCTATGGCAATAAAAACCCATAAATATTAGTTTTATCCGGTTATAACTGGGTTTTTAATTGATTAAATTGTGAATTTTCAGTAGCATGGTTTTATTGTTTTAAGTTGACCTTTTCCACCTGATTACGACAGAAAATAAATTTCTGCTTTGGGTCATCTGTACATCTTAAACACCAACTGATATTATTCTACTTGTTGTTATCACTTAGAATTCCTGACAGCTTTTTTATTTAAATAATCTTGCTCATTTTCACAATAAATTACAGGACATCGCCAAACTCAAAAATAAAATAAAAAAATAACACTTTTTACACAACTACTATTATTTAATATAACATAATAATTATTACTTCGATAATAACTATACGATACTATAGCGTCGTAGCTATAGACGACCGTCCCTTATTAACAAATATGTATATTAAGACGTTCAAATGCTGCTAAATCCATATATGTCTAGACCTATAAGTTTACATAATCTAGTATGTAATGTTATAGTACTATTATTATTTCTCACGATGCATGCCGACCGCGACGTGTTAAACTGTCACTAAGAAAAGTATCAAGCCCCTTTCGTCAGAGTATAAAAACGCTTAACCAACTACCTATCTCTTTCTAACGCTTACAAGCACAAGTTCACACTTCTATACAACGGTACGGCAACGCTCCGTGCTTGTTTGGAAGCAGCTCGCGCACACAGAGACACAGTAATACACATACGTATTCACTTTCCGTGTTTGCCGTCGATCCATAGTCTCACAATCGGGTAGCGGAATACGCGCTTTGGTGATAAGAACAATGAGTGCAAATGAAATTACAGTAAAAATGGAAAGAGATGAAGATGATGAACCTGTAGTGCATCCACCAACAAATACTTATGCGGGCAGAATGCCTCCCAATCGGCATTTCTGTGCTGCTTTTGCGTGTATGAACTCGAGTGACAATAACAACTTGAAATTTTTCCCGCTTCCTACTGACCCCCAAAGGTAAATAGCAAGTTTGAACATTATTATCAAATTGGATCGTAGAGTCATTAAGTATTTGCATCAAATAAAACGAATACATAATAACATAACCTCAAATAGTGGAGACGAGAAAATAAACATTCCCCGCAACGCCCCGCATGCCCGCGTCATTTACTCGTGAACAGCGCCATCTATTTTATGCGATACGAACTTTCTCCGACTGATGGTAGTTGCGTTACCGTTCCTAACAAAATAGTTATCGTACATGCTTCTTTGTTGTTTGTGGAGTCCACGCAGATAGCGTTCTTTAAAATTACAAATGTATGTATTATAACAAAATCCCACCAAAAACTTAAATGGGAACAATTGGCTGCATTAAATAATTAGTGTGTATGTATCGCGAATAAAGGACTAAATTGAGATGTATGTGAAATAGTTTCTAATGAAGGTCAATAACAAAAAATGTCTATTTTATTAACACCATTAACTTCGCAAGTTTTAATTAAGTTTAAAATTTTAATTAACTTTATTTACACACACACTCTAGTAACCGATTTCAACTTGGCAAATAGGTGTATTTCCACGAAGTTTTGAGGTTGGTTTTTTTTTATAAAAGTTAAGTATATTTATTATTGTATGTATTATTTATTACGCATTATAGTAGGATTATCGTAGAAGGTCGAACATATAAGTGCCACTACTTTTTGATTTTGAAATTATAACCAAGTAGAGGGTAACTTTTGTGAGAAGTTGAATAATCTTTTTTTATTACAGACGCGAAAATTGGCTGCAACTAATACGACGTGAAGACTTAATAAAAAAGAGTTCCAAACGCTATTATGTATGTGAAACACATTTTCGAAAAGAAGATATCAAAGTAAAGGGTCCAATTATGGTAGTGGCGGATTACGCAGTACCGGCTCTTTGTTTACCTGGTCGATTGCAAGAAGGTAAAGAGACACAAACGTACACTGACGACATTCCACGCTCTTACTCTGTCTTTACTCAAACTTGTCCCGATACGAAATTTGTTCACACCCAGACGAATGTCCAACTATTACACAGCCTACCTTACTGCCAAAAATTAAAAAGTGATCTCAAAACAACCAAATTGAAACTGGCAAAAGTGAAAAGTAAGTTTAATGCAAAACGGAAAGAGATCTTTTCAAAACTATGCGACAAATATTTGTCAAAAGAGTTATCTGAGCTCGTGAAAGCGCAGGTGAACTTGAAAGAGTTCCACTGTGGAAATAGATATACATTGGAATATAAACTGTTTTGTTTCAAACTGTATCATACTAGTCCAGACGCATACCACTTACTGTCAAAAACACTTAAACTTCCTTCAAAAGAAACCATTACCAGAATCTCTATACCAGTAACATCAGAAATTACAGATGACTTGCTTTCTATTTTGAAAAATAAAGTTCAGAGTATGTCAGACGCAGAGAGGAATTGTACTGTAGTGATCGGAACTATGGGATTGAAAGCAAGTCTGTGGTATAGCAGTCAGCAAGACAAAATTGTCGGATTCCACGAAGTCGACGGAGTCCAGTCTCCGAGGCCTGCAACAAGTGCTTTGGTCATGATTATTCGTGGATTGTTTTGCGATTATTCACAACCCGTAGGGTACGCTTTACTTTCGAAAAGTAAAGACTTTGAAGACGTCTTGAAATGGATTAACAAAATTTTAACAAAACTTATCGATATAGGTCTTCACGTCCGAGCGTTTGTAAGTGATCTGGCGTCTGCACGACTTATAGAAGCTATATCGATTAGAAGAAAAGTCTCCAGTTCTAAACCGTATTTCTATGTCAATGGTAGAAAAATTTACTTTATTTTAGACGCACCTTACTTACTGAAACTACTACGTAACAAGTTATTACATAATGATTTTCATTTCCAAGATTCTGTAGCCAAGTTTCAACACATTCAAGATTTTTACAACCAGGACAGCCAAAAATGTTTCAAAGTAGCACCAGAGTTAACAAACAGCCATATTAACCCTTCCACTGGAGAAAAGAAGAATATAAATTATGCAAGGGAACTTTTAAGCAAAAAAGTTGCTGCTGGAATTAATACTTACGTAAATTTTCATGCAATTGACGAATCTGGAAAGGAAACGGCTAGATTTATAAGTATGATCGATGATTTATTGGATGCCCTAAGTTCATCGCCGACTCAGGAGCCGAATGGATACAAAAGAGCCTTTTGTGGAGACGAGATTCAATTAGGATTCTTTAACGAAATGTTGGAATTGTTCCAGTCGTTAAAAATAATTAATTCAAAAAGTGGAAACGATGTGTCAAGTGAAGCGGGCTTTATTGAAGAGTTTGAAATTATCATGAAATCTGTTTTACAATTATTTCATGATCTGAAGGTTGAAGGACACACATCTCTGTATACGTGTAGACTACACAATGACGTCCACCACGATTTCATTGAACAAATGCGAGCGCAAATTGGCAAGACCAGAAAACCCACTTGTCGAATGTTTGTCATAGGATTTATGACTATATTTGTTTCTAACATTCTAAAGTCTAAAAAAGGTGATGATATCAGTGACGCTCATAGTACCCAGCACCTGGAAAGTGTGTTTCTTGAAATTCGCAGAATCAGAGAAATGAGAGATGAGCCAGACAAGAAACATTTGAATACATCTGAAAAATTGAAGGAAACGTCGGTTCAAGTTGCCAAGTCTGATTATGACAAACTACTGTTTCCGGAAGATTTGCCTCTTCTTAATATATGTGCGCACTTGTTAAAACAATGCCTGGATCACCATAAAGACTGTGCTGCTCTAAGATCTTACCTAAAGTTGGATATAGAGAATTACAATTATTTCGAAGACTTAAACTTTAAGTATTACAAAGATGTGTCAATGCCTTTGTTGGTCATTCCTCCTGATAATTTCGTCGCATATGTAGAAAAAATGGAGCACAAATTCCAAGAAATTATACAAAGTGAACATCTATGTGTAAAAATTTGCGACTCGATGCATAAAGCACTAAGTGAAATTCCACCTTGGACTCCCTGCCCATGTTTCCCGCATACATATTTAATAAAACTTTTTGTGATGGCCAAGATAAGTAATATCATTAGAATGAATAATAACGCATCTCGAAGTATAGGTAAAAATGCAGCTTGCAGATTTTCTTAACAGTAATTCCTAGACATAAATAGATTTTATTGTTGAAATGTTAAGTATACATAGTACTTTGTACTATTTAACTTGGCCTAAATGACAATTTATTGCTTTGTATAACATACGAAACCCTACCTAACGTAAGTACCGACGAGTCACTAACTCGATGTCGCGCCACATCTGCCGGAAATTTTTGTCATACACTGCGGTCTGTAGGCACTGTTTGTTTATGTAATGAGTGATTTCGTTAATTTGAAATATTTCAATGTAGTAACAAGTTCATTTTTTGACAAATAATTTAAATAAGTTTCAACAAAAACCGTTAATGGAACGTTCGAGAGAAAGCTACAAAGCGATGTTATTAGTGCTTTAGCAAGTTTCCTTCTTCGGTCCACCCACGCCTCTTGTTAATCAACCAGAGCCTTTTATGGGCCTACTAAATTATTTAGCCCATTTCATTGAATGGAGCAAGCGAAAAACGATCAAAATCCGTTTTCTAACATTTTACGATATAATTTACTTTTTAGATTGACAGGAATTCACAAACAGAAAATATTTAATGCAAATAATAATTATTTGCATAAACATCAAAAATTATATAGTAAATATATTTATGAGTTTTTTTGAATGCCACGATGTTTTACTACTATGATATCATTGACTTACAATTATATGGACGACGGGTCTAATACAAAAACCACGAAAAAAATGTCCCAAGTCAACCTATTTAAACGTAGTGACATGTAAAGGAATATGAAAAAGCTAAAACGTTGAATTTAAATTGTAATGTCTTCGCAGTAATGTCTAATTTTGCTTGCTTCGCTGGCAGTCGAACAAACGATGACTAAAGCGTGAATGACGCTCTGTATACGATTTTAACGCCCTATAAGTTCGGACACTTTTTAGCGCGGACCCGACGTCCATATAATTGTAAGTCAATGTATGATATTCAATTTTTTTTTATGTTAAATTACTCCACTAGTTTGTTATAATTATTAATAACAAAAATAGAACACTTAAAAAAATTCATTCAATCCGGCTGGATTCGAACGACAGTTAAAAAGTCTTTAAAAATCATAAACAAAGAACCAAATAGAAAAATTCGTAAAGCATCTGGCACGATCGAATCCAGCCGGATTAAATTAATTTTTCTAAGTGTTCGACCTTTGTTATTAATAAATTGTATTACGTATATACTTCAAATATTATGATTGAGAGCTACTTGATCATCACCCTATCCTTTGACAGAAGTAGCTGCCAGCCTTTTGGTCATAGGAGGTTTCAGCGAGATGAACTCCTTAGAGAGGCGTTTCCCTTAAACTCCAGAGACCGAATTTTTCCGCTGCAAAAGACACAGATCCGTAACCCTCGCACTGGATCAGGTTGCCAGAATTGTGACATAGGATAAGGGCAACTCTCTTTGTTGTATAATAATAAAATGATATGTGCATCACTCTTCACTTGTACCACTAATTTCCAGTGCTAACTTATTGAAAGCGATGTTTTTTGTGTTCAGTCCTAAATTTTGAAGCAACGGTACTTAGATGAATCTTAAAGCGGTACAGATAAGTTAAATAAAATTATAATTACATGTTCAGGGTTCATGCGGCAAAAAGATGCACTGAAATCATTGAAATACATAATATTGTATAGTGAGCAGTTTTAGGTCTTAATATTGACTTGGACATCAATGTTCGTGTTTTTGGTAGCAAAAATATTAAATTTTTAGATTTATTGAATGTCACTATGTTTTACTAGCATGACGAAACGAAACACTAAGAAAAATACTTTCGATCGAGCTGGATTCGACCCAGCACCCTCAGGCAATCCGTGCCAGACGCATCATACACATACAACAAGCTTCTGGCACGGATTGCTTGGAGGTGCTAGTTGGAATCCAGCCGGGTCTATTTAAGTTTTTTTAAATTTGCAGGACGGCAACTGTCATGCAATTTATCAGACCTGTTTAAATATTTGGCCATTTCTAAATGGATGACCTCCACTCGCCATGTAAGATGCCTGATAGTAATAAATCGACTCCTCCTTGTCGACCTAGTTTAGATTTCAACTCCCTCGCAAACTATATATAACCTTAATCAGCTAATACAATTGGTACGTAGTTTGTGATGGTAGAAAATACTTTTTCTTTTTTCTATTTCTTTTTCTATTAATCTGTCGTAAGTCACAAAAATAGGTGATTTTTTTATAATTCTTTTTGTTTTTGTATAGGCTTCAGCAACCTATTACACTCAGCAGTGAATTATAAAAGCATGAAAATTAATAAGTAGTTGTGAATTTGGGCTTACGATTCTTTACGTGGGAAGGATCGAAACGTTCAACTTCGTATTTTACCAACATTTTTCGCAAAAATCAGTTTATTTATACGATTCGTTGGCTAACAAAGTAAACTCGGTGAACAGTTCGCTAGAGATGGATGACGAAATAAACAACTAGGGATGTAGGCATACATACGTTAGGCCACAAATAAAGACATACAATGTATTGAGTTTTTCGGTTTGCGGCGATTGTTATACAAAGGAAATGAAACTATTTTCCGATCTTAATCACGTTTATACATTTTTTCAAACAAACCAACGTTTCGGGCCCTTCGCAGGTCCCACGATCACAGCTGAATCAACCGTTTAGACCTTTAGATCTGGAAAAATAGTTTTATTCCGTCATACAATACAGGGCGTCCCACGGCTATGCCTGTAATTTTACTATACTGATCGAAAGCTTCACTCATAAGGATTGTTTTCTTCTAAATAACACAGCATATTAAATAAAAGGAAGACCATGAAACAACATTTAATTAAAATAATTAGGTACATTGAACTGCAACTTACAATCAATTTAAGTTCTCAAATGCTCAAAATGTGTCCCATTCTGTAGTATACAAATCCTCACTCTTTTCATAATTTCGCTTCTTGTTGATTTATTTATCTTTTCATGGTGAATGTTTAAAATATAACGTCTATGTTCAGTTTGTAACACCAGCACTCTCTTATACCGGTTCCTGTAATCTAAATATTACAGGTTCATTTTCATGAACAAAATTTCAAATTTAATGTTAAATTTTATGGTGTTATAACCATAATTTATCTAGCCTAAATTATGGCTGAGTGTTCAAACCAAAGAAAAAGAGCAAACACGATTTTGTAACCGGATCGGATAGAATAATCCACCGCTGAAGTTGGGCACGCGGTCAAGCGAAACAATAACGTATTGTAACACGAAAATGGCTTCCTTAATTACGCAATTTGTGAAATACTGGTGCAATTATCAAATACGTAAATTATTAAGTACCTACTCTTGTTATATAGCACATGGAAAATATTACAAATATTAGGTACCTAAAGTACAGTCGCATTACCATTCAAAATCATATTGTAATCATAATCATATTGTATCATTTATTTACGGACGGTGTGCGGACGGTCTTGTTAACAAGCAGTAGCACGTTCTTTTAATGAGTAAAATGACACCAATAACTTTTAAAAAAGAAAACTAGAAATATCCAAAATTTTAACGTTAAGTGCTCACATTTTTGAGTTCACATTTGAGTATGGTTTAAAGCACTCGAAATCATACTCAAATCCCTGCCATTAGGGTCGTATTTCCAGTGCAATCCTGACTTGAGCATTGAGTAGAGTTCTAGAATACGACTCTTAGTATGACATTCGTACAGAGGCTTTAAACAATAACTTTTCACATAACAAACTGCTAGTGAAGTAAAACTATCTTATAAGTGAATAAAAATTTATATTCAAAGCAATTGTTTCAAGTGACGCCCTTGCGCGATACTTTGACAGACTCTATATATTATATTCATTTTCCAACACTATTCGACTTATATAGACGGCACTTCGTCCAGACCACAGTGTAAAACCCAGCGTATTATGCTGTATTTTTACTGTACACTCATCCATAGATCGAGTAATAAAAACTACCACTTTTGAAACAGTAATTTTGAACACAAGTCAATTTATTTATTATTGTTGGTTAATTACATACATAAATCAATGACGTAAGGAACAAATTTCAATAAATTTCCATTAAATTTTTAAGCATGCGTCTATTATTAAGAAAAAATTACGAGACATGTATTTTCGTACACTTAAGAAAGCATAATTTAGTCGCTAATTCGACGCCTCCTACGTAAAATATTGTATGTCGAAATTGCCAAGTTTTCAGGGGAGTGTTTTAAAGTTCTCCGTTTCATTCGGCAAAGCTTGTTACTCACATAGAGTGATCATCTAATAGATCATCTAACCGATATCTAGGATTTTATGATACTCAACGTGTGTAAAGAGATTTTCCGAATAAAAGTGAGAAATCTAAAGTCACGTGTTATGCTTATTTCAGTGAATTCAGAACTTTAAAAGGCTCCCCTGTAAACTTGGCAATTTTGACATACGATACTTTACGTGTGAGGGGTCGAATTGTTTAGTCCGCTTTGAAGTTACTTAGCCGTCTTTAGTCGCCACGTCGCAATAATTATTTACTTCATTAATAATAATAACATTCGGTTAATAAAATCCAATTTAATTGTTATATAAGGTATTAAGTAATGTTAAATTTGTTAATGGGTGTGTACCTAAATAAAGAAACATTTTATTATGAATTTATTTATTTATTTTATTATAATAATGCAGTTAATATAACATCCCAACCACAAATATGGTATATTAGTTTATGTCTGTGATGCCATCAAACTGCCGGGCATTGAAATTATGGCTCAAACGCTATGAGCCAAAAAACCTGGAACAAAGAGGTTATTAGGTTTATGCCATTTTGCGCAGTTGTTATACATATTGGAAATGAGAGTTTCAGAATGGCCGCCGTAAAAATGTAGATATCTATTTACAGAAAGAAGTCAGAAAATTAAACTAATGAAGATAAGTTACAGTCGAAGATCTGGCAGTATGTCCAATTATTAGACATCTTAGACTGTCCCGAAAAGGACCCGAAAGACGGATAATTTAGATTGGGAATGAAACCATTTTTTCAGATCTAAATTGCGTACGTATATTTCATTTTTTTCTAATATGAGTCATTTGTCAAGGTTCATGTAACAAATTATTAAACGCGATTAAGATTTGAGAGAATAGTTTTATTAGAAATTGGAACAAAGAGTTATAATTCTGGTGCTAGTACGAGATTTCATATTCAATCCACAATCACCCTACCCTTCCCGTGACCTAGGTACATTATCTTAACTATGGACAGTGTTTGTGAAGACATTTAAGCGTTGATACGAAGTGATAAGATACGCGCCGTCAACAGTCCACATTGCCAAGCAAACAACTCACGGCGTACGCGCAAAGTTCCATGCTAGAATTTATGCAATCTATCTCCACATTGTTATAGTAAGTTTTACTTCCAGCCGGAATTATTTAGCCTTCTCACAAACCCATGAAGTTCTCAGTTAATTCATTTGCAGTTGATAACATATCACTAAAGTCCACTTTGCAATTACGATTTTTTATTAAACTCAATATTTGAGTCCCGGCCCTGCATATCTATGTCTTCTTTACGTTAACCGGAGTTTATTGACATTTATATTGCCTGAATAATTATATAAATAAGTATTTATACATTTAAAAGCATTATGGCCCCCACAATAAATC